CAACGGCTAAATAGCCGTTTGAGGTGTCCCCCCCCACCTTTTTTTTTTAACTTTTTGCAGATTTTCAAATCAACAAAAACAAAAAAAAATAAAAAAAATAAAAATAAACCGGTACCGGAACCGGACCGGTACCGCCGGTACCGGAACCGGACCGGTACCGCCGGTACCAGTACCAAAAAATAGGTACCGGAACCGGTACCGAAAGTGGCGGTACCGGTACCGGTTCCCGGAACCGGTGACACGGCGACCTTGCCGGTGACGGTGGCGGGTACCGGCGGTACCGTTGCCGGTGACGGTACCGTACCGGTACCGTGTCCACCCCTATGTTAGAGTATGTTTTGAAAAAATATAACAGTACGTTCTTGTCAAAGAATTATTTTAGTACTTTAAAAATATAATGGTTTACAATTTTTTGTAATGTCATTGTGGGAGAAAAAACTAGTAATGAATTTTCAGAAAAACAATTTGTAGTGTGGTTTTGAGGAAAAGTAGTAGCGGGTAACGTTATTTTGGAAAAGAAAAACCAAATTATCATAAAAGTAAATTCTAGTGGCCCACTCTAGAAAAACTATCAAAAAAATAATTTGTAGCTCGCAAAATTATAAAAATTTTCGGGAAAATAATGCATAGTATCCCTTTTGGAAAAAAATTGTACATAATACCTAGACCTGGCAATCAGGTCAATTGGTTCGGTTCCGGTTCAGTTCTTTTCGGTTCGGGTCTCTTTCGGATATATGTTATAATCGGTTTGGGTCGGTTCGGTTCCGGGTTTATTTCGGTTTGACTGGTTTTTTGTTCGGTTTCGGTTCCAGTTCAGGTTTGTACCGGTTCGGGTTTATATCGGATCGGGTTTATATCGGTTCGGGTTTGTATTGGTTCGGGTTTGTATCGGTTCGAGTTTATATCGATTCGGGTTTGTATCAGTTTACGTTTATATTATTTCATGTATATTTTAAATATATACTAATAAATCAATAGGATCGCATAATAAATTTAGTTAATTTATGATATACTTCGTATTTATTTTATTTAACACGGACGTACATAAAAAATAACACTTACATAATTGACTAATTGTTACATTCTAAAGTTTTCCCTCCTAAAATTTTCAATGCGACCTTTTAAGTTAATATTCTACTTCGTACTTCTCTAATTCTATTTAACTATCCATTTCACTTTGTGTGTCAAATATTTGAATAACTATATATAAAAATATATAATGAATTAAAATATACAGAGAAAAGTTTAGTATTAAAAAACACTTTAAATGTATTATTTTTAATATTTTTTGCTAATATATTTGAAGAGACGACGTTGGTCAAACTTTAAGTTCGAAGACAATAAAATACAAAAAAAACTTTAACTTAAGTTTTAAAATACGGAGTAAAAGATTTGTACATGAAAGTAGTTGCATGGTTTGCACCTATAATTTAAATATGTTTTTTAGAAACACATCAACATATGTAAAAATATATCGGTAATTCTTTTTCTCCAAGTTCATTTGATAAATGAAGTATTAACAAATTTGATCAATTTAGGGTCTAATCGGTTTCGGGTCTAATGAGTTTGGGGTCTAATCGGTTCCGGTTTTAATCGGTTCGGGTTAAGTCGGATTCGGATCTGAATCGGGTCTGAATACATTCGGTTCGGTTTCAGTTCGGTTTGGATCATTTCGGGTGTTCGGTTCTATTTCGGTTTTCGGGTCAATTTGGGTTCGATTTCGGGTTATCATGTCCGGGTCAGTTTTGCCAGGTCTAATAGTATCGATAGAAACCTGTATTGCATTGTGAAGACAAATTTGTTTCATTTTGAAGAAAAAAACATTTTTTTGATAATTTGTTTGGAATTTTTTCGTGTAACATTTTTAAAGTGTTGAAATTGGCGCTATAAACTTTCTACGTTCTAGGAAATTATTAAAAATAACTACTCTCTCCGTTCTCAAAAACACTTTCCCTTTCATTTTTTCATTTCCAACAAAACACTTCTACTTTCTATTAAAAACCACTTTTACCCTTACCTTTTCATACCCTACCTATCATATCATATTTTTTCTCTAATAATCTATCCATCACATCTTACTTTTACGCATCACATCAAGAGCAAAATTGGAAGTCAACTACATGTTAAGACTTCCTTATTTTTACACTTAGTCAAAATAAGAACTCTTTTTTAGAACGAGGAGAGTATTAGAAAAAAAGTACATTCCATTATTGATCATTTATAACAGAGAGGTTTTTCTATTTAGTCCTCTATTATCAAATATTATCCTGATGGTCCTTCTTTTACGAGTTTCTTTCCATAAATAGTTATTTTTTGATCTTCTATCATTTGATGTTAATTTGAGGTCTAAAAATGTAATTTCACAATGATAATACATCTTATTGTCATGGATAATTCCAAAGGTTACTCCTAATGCGCTGTTTGCAAATTAGAGTCGCTTTCTATTACAATTAGTGTCTACAGAAGTGGTCTTTTGTAAGAATCTTAGCTCACAATCATAGTCATTATTTTTGTGTAATTCGTCTAACCAATATCAGAATGTGTCACTCAACATAAGGTTGATGTCAAATTATTATTTTAGCTTTTAAATTATCACCAACATAATGACAGAAAATTAAAAAGGACTATTTGCTGAAAGACACCCATAAAAGGACTACGGGAGTAATATTTGATAATAGAAGACTAAATAAGAAAATCCATGTTTTATAAAGGGCCAATTATGGAATTTACCCTAGAAAAAATTTGTGCCACAATATTTTTTTGTACGACAATCTTTTTCCCGAAAGGATACTAAGGTCATGTTCTCTATCTGATTGGAATAAATTCTAATCTGATCTAGTCTGATCTGATTTGAATATAGTTATATTTAAAGCTATTTCTGATATGATCTAATTTGTTCTTGTTTGATTTGATCTGATTCCAATAAAAATATGTAGTAAATAAAAAAATATGTTGGGGAGAATTTTTGTCATACATATTTTTAGGTGCTGATAGTCACACCCCACATAAAAACTAAACTTACCCTGCACTAATTTTACTCCATTAT